CAACAACAACAACAACAACAACAACAACAACAACAACCTGCAGTGCAAATGCAACTATCAACAATTTAACCTCAAGAAGATAAGGTCCCAGCAATACCAAGAGGTCAGTGTGTTTTTTCTATCTTTTAGCTTCTCTTTTTTCTTTTTCTTGACTACTACTCCACCACCTCTTGTGGCCTCCTTGTAAACTACAGATTCCCTTGTCTTTATTGGCTTGTTGGCAGTGTGCTTGGCACCTGTTTGTTTCCTTGTTCAATGGTGCAGAGAGACTCCTAACCTTTTGGCTTGGCACTGTGAGCCTTAATTTGCTTGTCAGTAGTATGGTACATAAGAATGCAGTTGCTCCTCCATAAACATTCCTTGGAGGGAKGCMCTGCCCCTTGTTGGAGCAGCTAGTAGGGGYATTCTACACCCTGGTGGTGAGAAGAACTCTTCAAGTTCATGAAGTTTWAAAAACATAATATTATTAGGATTTTTTTGTTTAACAAAGATAAACAATTCTCTTTGTTTCTCCTGTTTTGCAAGGTGTACAGGAAGTAGAAACAATTTTACTTGAAAAATTGCTAATGCAGCACCAGGGGGGCCTGAACTACAAGATGGCACTCACCAATTTCATGCCAATTGGGAGTGACAATCAGCAAATAAATGATCTAGTTGTTGCTGTGAGGAGGAAGAAGTGCTAGAAGAAGATAATGATGGAGAAATGAAGAACTTCTTGTCTGCCCAATAGGGAAGTAAAATATTGTTGGTGGACAGCAGAGCATTCTTATTTTTCACACACTTCTTGAACTAGTAGTCTAGTAATACAAGAACCCCAATGAAACATGAAAAACTCTTGATATTATTTTAGCTTGTTGTAAACTAGAAGGTGCAGTAGTTGTGCTAGAAACCACCAGGCTTATCCTGACTGGGGAGATGAGTGCTCCTAATTGTTCCAAGGGGCTGTAGTTGCTAACCTCAAAGGAGTTATGGTGGAGGCACAACAAGGTTCAATGTATACACTGGTGACAACAACAAGCCAATTATGGCAAGGGAYTGGACTTAGGGGACAAAGGAGGTGTTTGTTCATGGTTTTGATTGATGAGAGCCATACCATGATTTGTTTCCAAGTGCACTGGAAASTTAATAAAGGGAAGATACAGCACACAGCAAACAAGGAGAGAGGTGGTGGAGTAGYA